AAGAGAGTCAAATGTGTCCTGGTGTCATACATTACCAACCTTGCAGAAATGAAGGTATTCTAGAGAGAACCCTCGGCACACACACACCGCCCACCGCCCCCCCCCCCCCGTACCCCCTCCACCAGCTTCTTGAAACAATGGTTTCCAAGTGATGGGAATTGCCCAGGAGTCTCATCCTAGGAGAAGGAAAAGGCTGAAGCCTGGTGCCAGGCAGAGGGGGAGCTTATCTCCCAGGAAGAGATGGTACCCAATTCTGACAGCTCGTCAGACCACCGTGCAAAAGATACTGGAGCTGAGCCAGTGATGGTGCAGTGATGGGCAGGATGTCACACCTTGACCAGGACTGTTGAGTTATGCACACCTCTTTCTCTTTACTTAAAACTGACTTCATGACAGAACCCTGAAAATGGACTTGCGTGTGTGTGTGTGTGTGGGGGGGGGTCACTGGACATCTTTGTTCCATTTTCCAGTGTGGCCACAGTGAATAAATCCCTTTCTCTGCTTTTTGCTGTGCTTGTGTATAATTGCCCCATTAAGGGTGGGTGGCTGCCAGGGCCCAGGCTGAGCCTAATAACTCGAGGCCGTATTCCTTGTCTCTTCTTGCTGAGGTCCTGGGGTGGCCTCCACAATGGTCCATGGTCTCCACACACCTGCAGGAACTGCTCTAGTGCGGTGGACTGGTCTCTAAGCAGTAGCATGTGACAAAGAGAGCAGACCCTTTATAAGGGGTGGTGGCTCTGAGCAAGGCTCCTCCTAGAACAGGGGCTCCGGATGACTCTACAGAGAGGCCTGCATGCTAATGGATCGAGCCCTCAACCCCACAGTCAGTCAAGCAAACAGAGCAGCCTCCATCCATGTGATAACTCTCCCCCACTCCCTGGAAATGCAGCTTGACTGTGAATTCCTCTGACCAGGGCCTGTCTCCTCCTGGAGACTGACTTCTGAAACTGGGAGGTGATGACTGGCATAGCTTTATGCTGCTTATTGGGGACAGTTTGTTACGCAGCAGCAGCTGCTAAGGATAAACCCTCCAGCACTGGCTCCCACTGGCTGTAACTCCAGTTCCTGGGAGCGCTGATGGCCCTCTTCTGGCCTCCACGGGTACTGCCCACAAATGGTACACAGATAAATGCCAAAAAGCCCAAGGAGCCTTGAATGCTTTGACCCCACGGCTGTCAACAAAGGTGAGCACATCAGCTTTTTTTCTGAATAAATTTGTTTTTCTAGATGTTTCCATCACTCTTGTATCCATTTGTTTAATGAAGTTTGAAGAGGCAATACTCCTGACTGCCAGGACTTAGTAATTTTCAGACATCCTGAAGCTAAGCCATGGTATAGAGATGTGGAACCCATCACCTGTGTGGCCCTCACTTATCCTCCTGCTCTGACACCCCCTCGATGGGGACAAAGGTCTGGGCTTTGTCTGTTGGGGCCAGATGTGACCTTCCCATAAGCATTCTTGTGCCCTGTGAACTGAAGCTCCCAGAAAAAAAAAAAAAAAAAAAAAAAAAAAAAAAAAAAAAAGTCTGTGTTGAAGATTCTGCAAGGTTGGTCAGTTAGAACTTGGTGGTTGTGGGGGCCCAGGAGGAGGCTCAGTCAGTAAAGGGGCTTGCTGCATATGCGTGAGGACCCGAGTTCAATCCTTAGCACCACTGTGAAACAAACCAACAACCACCTGGATGTGGTGGTATGGACCTGTAATCCCAGAGCTGGCGAGGCAAAGACAGAAGCATCCTGGGGCACTCAGGGTTGACCTCTGACCTACACACACACACACACACACACACACACACACATACCCCTTAATAATTCTGCCTAGGTGCTCTATTAAGCTTAGGCCTGGAAAGCTATTTAGGTTTTCATCAGAGTGGCCACAGCCACTTTGCAGCAACCTTTTGGGGTGTACAGGAGTCCCTATTCTTACCAATGACACAGAGTGAAGGGGCTGACAGGTGCAGGGATCACCCAGGGCTCACAGGTTTTGGCAATGGTGGTTTTCATCAGAATGGCCACAGCCACTGTGCAGCAACCTTTCGGGGCATACAGTTAAGGGAAGCCGGCAGATGCCCATAGAAATGGAAACACTCCCTTTGGTTCGGGCTGCTGGCTGTGCATCATCCTGTGGCTGGCGAGTGTCAACTCAGAAAGAGCTATTCTGAAACAGGAAGAATGTTCCTCCCGTGCTCCTCTAGACCGTGTGCCTGCATAGGTGTCAGAGACCCAGGTTCCTGTCCGGCCTCTGCCTTTACGGTGCAGCCACGTGCAGTCCCTAGGCCTCTCTGGGCCTCAAGTCCCTCATCGCTGCGGTGTGAGGACTAACATAACAAGGGTGGATTCACGATAAGAAGAACTAAGCAGTGTGGAGTGGCTGGGCCCTTAGGGTCTCCATCAGTGGGCACTACTACATAGCTCCAGGCATGGCAAAAGTTTGGATGATGGCTAGAAACATCCACCAGCACACCTGTGGGCCCCATGCTGTTGGGGCAGCTGGCGAGTCCAGAGCACAGTATGAGCATTCTGACCAGGGGCTCTGGGGACTGACCCTGGTACAAGCATGGCAATGAGTAGCCTCTAACACCTTACCATCTCCTATATGGATGACACATTGATGGTTGAGACAGGCACACAACTCTTAGTACTGCACATGGCTCAGAGGCATCCCTACTCGTGTGTGTGTGTGTGTGTGTGTGTGTGTGTGTGTGTGTGTGTGTGCCTGTGCATGTGAAAGCCAGAGGCCAACCTTGGATATTGTACCTCAGGAGCTGCCACCCTATGTTTTGAGTGTCTCTTATTGGCTTGGGGCTTGCTGATTCCAGGAGCTGGCCCAGGGTGGGAACTAGTCCCAGGGATCCCCCTGTCTCCTCTTCCCTGGTGCCAGGTTTACAAGTGTGTGTTTCCCCATGGGTCCTAGCTCCTCATGTTTGCACAGCATCCATCAGATGACAGACACATCTCTGCAGACCCAGAGGAGTCCCTATTCTTACCAATGACACGGAGTGAAGGGGCCAACAGGTGCAGGGATCACCCAGGGCTCATAGGGCTGTGGAGAGGTTAACAATGCAAGCTTGTTTTCAAAGGGCACATGGCAGCTGGAAGGCTCTGGAAGCCTGAGCACTGTTACATGAAGTCCTGGAAAGCTCCTCCCCAGGGCATCAGGGAGCCCTGTCTCCTGTCCAGGGTGCAGTGTTAGGGCAGGCCAGCTGCCCCTCCACTCTTCAAGTTTTGGCCCTGGGATCCATTCCTCCCCACCTCTGGCCACTCAGCTCTTCAGGAGAGTGCCACCCTCTTTCCCTTTAGGAAGGCCTAGGTGTGGTCAGGGTGGATCTAGTTCTGACCCTTGCTGCCTGCTCTGTGCTGGGCAGCTTGGGTAAGTCCTGGGGCCTCCCTGAGCATCCTGTCTATGAAGGGAGGTGGGAATGTTCCTAGGTAACCTGAGGAAGGTACTAGTGTACTGGCCTGGAGCTTCAATGACCAACGGCTATAAACCCGGTGTTTTAGAAGAACACACAATCATCACTGCACAGTCTGGAGGTCTCAGGTCCAATGTGGCTCTCGGTGGGAGAAGTTGAGGTTGGCAGGGCTAACCTGGAGTTAGCCAGTCCTCTGGAGGCTCCAGCAGTGACATAGCTCAGTCAGTAATGGTTGCCAGGCAACCATGAAGACCTGAGTTAGATCCCTGGAATCCCTGGGGAAAAAATCACGGTGGCACCCTGGAAGAGACAGGAGGATCCCTGGGAATCATTGGCAAGCCCCAGGCCAATGAGAGACTAGAGGCTTCCTGGTGTGGCTGTGGCCCCTCCTCCATCTCTCCAGCCAGCCATGGCTGTCCTGTCTTTATGCTGTGCCTCTCTGAACTTTTCCTGATGTCACAGTGGGATAGCCCCCGACCATGGAGAGCTCAGGAGACCTGATGGGACCGCCTGCGTCATCCAGGATGGTCCCTCTACCTCAAAGACCGTGGGAACAGCCACCAACACCAGTGATGGTGCTCCATCGCTGTAGCTGAAGTTAGACTGGGTGGGCTGAGGTCACGTTATCAGATGCCAACCTGAGCATCCACACGGTGCTGGCACTTCGGCAGTGATGGTTTGAATCCTGACCCACCACCTACTAGTTCTACCAATTCAGACATGGTACTTAGTCACCTCGGAGCCTCAGTGTTTCCTTATATGAAATGGGTATAGTGACAATACTCTGTCCACACTCTGTGAGAAGCATCCTATGGTGCCTAGGCTACCCGGGACTACCGCAGCCTGCTCAGGGACCCTGAGGTTCCATGATGGAGTATTTATCTCATTAGTCACCCAGAGGTCCCGAGGAGCCATGCTCTGTTTACACATATGGGTCAGAGGTTACCCAAATGACACACAGCCAGGAAGTGGCCATCTCATCTTGAAGCTGACCTGGAGGCTGTGGACAGACGGCAGCCGCAGCCCCACCTCTGCCTCCTTCCTGAGTGTGAGGGGTTAGGGCTTCAGGGGATACAGGGCGGGGGAAGCCCTGACTCCCTGACAATCCAGAGGCCCAGGTATGGCCTTCCTCTCCACAGCTGTCCATTCCCAGAAGCCAAGGCCTCTGCAGGGTGAGGGCCACCGAGGAACACTAGAGCTGAGGCCAGCCTCAGATAGCACATGCAGCTGGGATACTAGGGTAATGCTCTTCTTTGAGCTCAGTGTCCTTACCTGTGTTTGTGGTGAGTTATACCCACCTGCTCCAGAGGGAGACAGGCCACCTATTATAAAACACGTGCCAAGCTCTGCGGGCACCACCTGGGGACCCCTCCCCCAGGCACCTGTAGGCCTGGTGTCCCTACTGACTCCATTTCCTCCACCTGGGTTAGGATCCGGGCCAAAAAGACAGATGCGGCCCAGTCTTGATGGGAGCCGCTCCCTACCCCACCCCACCCCGCCAGCTCCCCCTCCCAGGTCAGCTTTCTAACAGCAGCCTTCTGAGCCTTGTCTTAGATGTAACATTTGTTATTTTATTGGAAAAAGCTGGTATTAACATATTTATAATTTTATTCAACAGTTGGATAATTTGTGAGACACCGAAGAAAACAAGAATGCACCTATGAGCCACAGAACCCCAGATGACTGGGCCTGACTATGTCACCAGCACGGACAAACCCAACACCCTCCGGGGGCTCCGCCCTCAGAGAGGAACCAAAGCAGAAGAGACGAACTCAAAACCCAACAATGTCGCGATGATGACGGGAATGCCACATATTCAAGACCAGAGAACTTAAGCAGAGTAAGGTGGCGAAGTCTGTGGCTTGGCTCTGGTCCTTCTGCTATTCCTCACGCTGCCCCTCCCCCTCCGCACCTGCTTCCCCAGTTAATACACACATTACTATTTGCAGTCCGCTCTGGACCTGGGTGATTTCCTGGGGTCCCAAAGACATGCTTTTCTTCTGAGATCTTTTTCTGTCTCTCTCTTTCCTTCCTACTTTGGTACCCAATGTTTAAAACAGAAGTCTAGAATCTAGGGGTGTGTGCAAGACCCCTCCTTTTGCAGACCACGTGAGATTTGACTTTGAAGATGGTACGTGTCACACCTGTGGCCTCACAGCAGCAGCTAGCCCCCAAGGCAAGTGTCCCCTCTGATGCCAAACTGCAAAGGCAAGCGGGTGTGCCGGAGATCCAGGCCAGTGCGTAAGGCCCTCTCACCTGGATTTTGGCTGCAATGGGATTTATGTACAACTGGCCACATTCTTCCACTTCTTTACAAGAGGGGAAAGTCGCCCGATCTTTTGATTCCTCACTTTAACCAGGGTCAATATGTACATATAATACTGTCCAGAGCGCCTGAATTTTACAGTGATGGATAAACATTCTTCATTCACGTTGATTAAAAATAAAAATAAAAAAACCCAAAAATGTAATGGACCCAGTTTCTGTGTAAATACATGGCCGGAAGTGAGTGTGCATGCGGTTTGTGCTTTGACACACACAAGGATACCTTGATCCACTGAGAAAAAAAGCTCCGTTGCGTCTCCATTTCCTGGGTGGCAGTTCACGTTGTAAAAACTAAAGCCCCTCTGCTGTCTGCTTCCAGAGTCAAAATGCCAAGCCCTGCAGTTCTGGGATTCCAGGAGTGAGCATGGAGCAGGGATCACTGTGAACGGCCAATGACCTGTGCCTCTGGGGAGGTCTGAGTGAATGTCCTCTGGGGCTGCCTGGCTGCATGCAACCTCCTTGGGGAGCGGCTGGGAGGGTGAAGAGAAAGCTGCAGGTAGAATGTAGGTGAAGTGCATCTGGGAGCATGTCCGGATGCCACCAAGCAGAGCGGGGAGCCACTGCAGCTCTTCTCCATCTTCTCTCTCATGTCATCTTGTCGCCAGTGCACCTGCTCTGACGTCACAAGATGGAGATACTTCCCTTCCAGAAACTTCCATGGGGATGCTGCTTGGAAACCAGTCATCAATGGGGGTGGGGCTGGAAAGAGCCCGTGGAAAGACCTGCATGGAACCCCAACTCAGCCCTCGGGCTGTGACTCCTTAGACACCCCCGTTTCTCCACTTTAGTTTCCGTCCTATGTACAAAGGGGATGGTAACCACACCCCAGCTCCAGCAGAGCCTGGGACTTATGGAAATGAGTGGGCACCTGCCTCACGGGCTAGAGGATTCTGCAGTCAGGGACAGGACCCACTGTCAGCTGTGGGAAGATGACTGGATAGCGTGGGGGAGTGACAGCAACACCACCACAGAGTGGGCTGTGGGGATCCATCCACAGCCACTATGGACTGAGCACCATGCCCAGCGTGCAGTGGGCACTCACAAATGGACGGCAGTGAGGTGAGGGCTACAGCCCACACAGGTCCCCAGTCCTGCCTCTCAGGACTTGCCCCAGCCTGGAAAAGCCACCCAAGGAACCTAGCCCTGCCTCACGATTAACCCGAGGACTTCAGCTCTGCCTCTCAGGACCTGCCCTGGCCTGGCCCCTAGGATACGGAAAAGACCTCCCCAACACCCCAGTGAGGAGTTGGCATTGCCATCACTCAATGAAAATGCACTGTCCAAAATCCAACAGGAGCCAGCAGCTCTGAGCCAGAGCACGTGGCTGGCACAGATCTTGACTGGCTGCGAGCTTCACTCTTTCTCTGGAGCCCTGTCAGGGACCAGCTTAACTTTCCCTGATAGCAACTGATCCACTGCAGTAAAAATCACCCCTGGACAGGAATAAAGTCCTGATAATAAACAAAGGCCCAGCCTGAGGCAGAAGGACCGTAAACAAAGGAACCCTGGACCGAGGCCCACCAGGCACATCCATTTTATCACCTGTGACTGACGCTCTTCTCCCTTTCCTTTGTTTAAACTGGCAATTACCATCCAAGGCAACTCCAGCCTAGGGACTCCTGTCCCCTGAGGGCCACCACGCTCATCCTCCTACAGAGGTGGCCTGGAGGGCCACTGAGACCAGCTAGTGCATGTCAGAATTGACCTTATCCTGGAAGATGTACAGGTTGTTGGTGGCCGCAATGGCGATGATATTCTCGGCCGGGTGCCAGGCTGTGTGCAGAATCTTCTTGGTGAAGTCCAAGCTGTCCACACTGATGTCATCACGCCGCCGGCTTGCCACCCACACACACGCGCCGGGGCTTGAGCACTGCCCTGGGTTTGCTGCTCTCCCTAGAGGCCTCCAGCGTCACATCCCGCTTGGTGTTGCGGTCGAACATGCGGAAGAAGTTGTTGTAGGCCCCTGTCATGATGACGCTGGTGAGAGAAGAGGAGGGGGTCAGTGGGGGGAAGACAGAGGGGACAGGGACACTCTGGAGCTATGGGTTGTCACTCCTGCGACAGGGGAGCGGTGTCCGCCTCTCTGCCACTTTTCTGCTGGCGTCCCTGGCCCCCTCTTACATCTCAGCTGCCATCTCTACTTTAGGACCTTTCCATGTTGCCCCAGCAGGCAGGAAAGGTACTTCCCATCATTTGTACATAGCCTAAGGGAAGCAGTCCTTGCTTGCAGCCGCCATAGCAGTAGAGACAGGGATGACACTAAGATATAACTGTGGCTGTCCCAGAGCCTCTCAGCCTGCCGGGCCTCCCTCCCTCCCCTCCACAACCTGAGGGGCCGAGCCGATGAATAAATGAATGCTCACTGCACGGGTCACACAGGGTGAGGCAAATGCCATAGCAGACCAGGGGACCTGGAAACAGACTTCTGCCCTGTGCCTTCTGCTAGCCAGGGACTTCATCTAGTGAGGCATGGAGTAGGATAGCTCCCTGATGCATTTACAAAGCAGGCCTGGGCCTAGAGGAAGGATTTGGGGTTTCCAGCCTTGGGGAGGCTGGAAAAGCTGTGGGGAGAGGAGGAGGAGGAGGAGGAGGAGGAGGAGGAGGAGGAGGAGGAGGAGAAAAGCTCTAGAGGGAGAAGCTGATAACCAGAGGGCTCCACAGAAGAGAGAAAATTCGAATCATCTCAGTGGTTGACGAAGAAACATAGACCTACACCAGTCTTGTGTGTGCAGAGCACAGAACACCACTGCCAAGAGGGACGCAGCTCCTTGTGTGTGTGTGTGTGCATGTGTGTGTGCATGTGTGTGTGCATGTGTGTATGTATGTGTGTATGTATGTGTGTGTGCATGTGTGTGTGTGTGCATGTGTGTGTATGCATGTGTATGTGTGTGTGTGTGTGCATGTGTGTGTGTATGCATGTGTGTGTATGTGGTGGGGGGGGGATTCAGCCTAAGACGTTGGCACAAGGCTGCATGAAGCCACTTTCCAGAGGGCTGACTCAGGAGAATTCATCTGTTCCCAGCTGGAGTAAAAGACCAGGAACAGAAACAAAGCCGGGTCCTGTGGCCCCCACTCAAGGGTGCTGGAGGGGGATGAAGGTGCCACCGAGGGCTGTTATGTCAGAGAGTGACACAGCAGCCCTCTGCGGGCCCATTGACTAAGAGGTGTATGTCCCCCATGAGTCCCGCAGAGCAGACTGTGGGCCTCAGGCTTGCCTTAAAGGGATGGGGAATTTGTTTCTCCTCTTACCCTTGGGCCTCTGGGATGAGGTCCCGGTCCATAGACAGGCCAAGCTCAGAGGAAGCCAGAGGCAAAGGGAAGGGACGGATTGCTCTTTACCGCCCAGAAATACAGACATCCATTGACTGGACACTCTCCTGAGGTCCCTCCTACCAGACATCTCTTCCAGGGGTGGTGGAGGAGACAAGGACAGAGGCGATGAGAATCTGTCATTTTATAAATAGCAAGATACAGGCAGAAAGCCCAGGAGGCTGTGGGACAAGGCAGAGAGGACCAGGGCTGCTTCCTGGAGGAGACAACAGCGGAGCAAGCTAAAGGTGCTTCGGCAGAATCCCAGGGTCATAAAGGATGGGTGTGCAGGAAGGAAAGGAGGGGTGGAGCACATCTATGGGACGTGTCAGGCAGAAATAGATTGCTAAGCCCCTGCGCTGGGCCTCCCATCAGTCAGAGGCTTGCTGGAGGTTGTGCTGGGCTCAGGCACGCTCTGGTTACATGCGCCCCCTGGTGGTAACATACAGTGCAGGCAGTGGGTGGTAACCTTGAGCCATCTACCCTAATATCCTGCCTTATCTTTGTCCTTCAGTGGACACTCTGGACCACCACACATGCCCTCTGTCCAGTACGGTTCTGTTAAGAGCCCCTGCAAAACAGGTGGACCTTTGGAATGATAGCAGCCCCTATGTGGGTCCAGGCCTGCTCAGAGTGACTTTCTCTGCTCAGTGGTCCTTTCTCTGTCACCACCGCCCCTAATTACAGCTTCAGCCTCGAACACAGCTGCTCTTACGGGCCACCTCAGATGTTCTGGAGCATCCTGGCCACCCAGGCAAATGGCAAAGCAGATGCCGCCTGTGTGGATACACACCCTGGATGGAGGGGAGTTGGGGCTGAGGCTCTGGGGCCACCACTTCTCACCTGCTGATGGAGGGACAGGGAAAGTGGGGAGGGAGGTGATGCCTCAGAGACTCTGGTACAAAAACATGCCTGGTGCTATGCTCCCCTGGTCATCTGGAGCCTCTCTCCCTCATCTGGGCAGGATAAGTGGCTGTCCATCCACAGGAGACCCTGAGAGGCTCACCTACCAGGCTCCACACAGGTAACTAACTGAGCCTGAGGCCTGTGAGGCCTCATAAAGCATGAGTGGGGACAGGGAAGCAATGCCCCCCCAACCGGAAAGCTTCTGAACTGTGAGGCGGGGGCAGGCTCTTGGGTACAACAGGGGAATGATGTAAGATGAAGGATGCAATGGCCCCATCCGCACTCACTGTGCTGGGTCCAGGCTGTGGCAACACAGGAGCCTGTACCATGTTACTAAGGGGCTGTGTTCTAGACTGTGGGACGGGAGAGGTGGATCACTACTAGGTCACCAGTTCAAGTTGTGAGCCCCAGAGGACCTGCATGAGGCTGCCAGAGTGATGGCAGGAGACGTGTGGGTGGCCCGATGCCTTTCTGTCTCCTAGGGATGGAGATACTGGGGTACAGGGCCTGTAGTGTGGGAGGCGCTTGGCTGATCCTGACCTAAAACCCCACAGCACCCTAGGACAGGGCGTTAATGTGGGTGTCAGCATCAGTCACAAGGGTAAAGAAAAAAAAGCTCACTTCCCCAACCTGGACTTGCGTCTGAGAGCTCTGCCTGCTAGGGAGGAGGCCTCCCACACCTCGTCCACACCTCGACCTGGCCAAGGGCAGCTTTGTGGCCACCGACTACAGGAAAGATCCCTCCTGGGGTGACTGGTGAGGGGCAAGGCAGGGCGCCGGAGGCTGGGTGCCCGCCGCTGGCTCACTCACCTGTCACTCCCGTTCCAGGCACACTCAAACTTGTCAAAGATGCAGTCACTCTCATACAGGGAACAGAGCTTACTCCGCAGGTAGTCGTGGACCTGGTGAGGAGAGGGCACAGGCTGAGCAATGGACACCAAACAGCCCAGACACCTCTGCCATGAGCAGATCCAAGCACAGGTGTGGCATCTTCTCCTCCTGTGTGCCAAGCCTTGCCTGCTGCCTGGGGGCAGGAGGAAACGCTTCAGCTATGGGGAAGAGTGAGCACCAGGCTTCCCGGACCTGTCATGAGGGGTGCTCCATGCCTATGGACCCAATGTCTTCAAGAATCATGGGTGAGCAGGGTGGTGGTGGCACACACCTTTAATCCCAGCACTCGGGAGGCAGAGGCAGGTGGATCTCTGTGAGATCAAGGCCAGTGTGGTTCCAGAGTGAGTTCCAGGACAGACAGAGTGAGTTCCAGGACAGACAGAGCTACACAGAGAGATTCTGTCTCAAAAACAAAACAAAACAAAAACAAAAAAAACAAAACAAAACACAACCCCATGGGCTGAGGATGATGATGAAGTCTTGGGACAATCCCTCTCCTGGCAGCCCATTCCAAGACTCCTTTTGATGGAGTGAAACAGCTCTGATTTGTCAAGCACTGCAAGTCGGCCAAGCACTGTCCCACTGCATACAATTTCCAGGACACAAAAGGCACCTCCAAAGACTCAAATGGGAGTAGTCATTAATCATTGCTATTTTAGAATCTGTAGGTCAGCTATACAGAAAGCCAGGCATCCAGCGTTAACCCTTGGTCCCCAAAACAGTAATGCTGCCTCTTCACCGGGACCCCACAGGCTTTCAGAGGCCCAGAGGCTCCGCACTCACCCTTTCCTAAGAAAACCTGTGCTGATCACAGTGTTATGATGGCCCCAGGAGGCTGGGAAGGCACTGGTTCAGTCACTCACAGCTTGAAGGTGGTTTCCTGCCTCAATCTTGGGCTGCTGACACTTTCAGAGGGGCACAAGAGGGTCTGTCCCTATCTAGAATACACAGGGTAGGACCTAGAGAAGTGGGGAGCCACAGGCCCTGCCCACTGCTAACAAAGGGGCAGCTGGGTCACTAGGAGATGTCCTGGGAGCATGTGGCTTCTAGGAGCCCCTTCCAGAAGCTTTTCCTCTTGGACACACCTCCTCAGCTGTGGTAGGACAGGAAGCAGGGCTGAGCTTTGGGCCTGCCACCACTGGGCTGAGATTCCTCGGTCACTGTCCAACTGCCCAGTGTCCCTGTCTGTAGACCGGGACATACCATCTTTCTTTGCTAGAGCAGAATAAAACAAGTGATGGGCACATGTGTGGACATACACACAGCCCCGTGGGTGGGGCTGGGGTTTCTGGTGGCATGCTTCAGTCCGTATCTGCCAATCCAAATTCTAGGTGACCTTCAAGGCCCAGCACAAATGCAGCTGCCTCCAGAAAGCCCTATCCCTCCCTCCCTGCCCCTGGGCGCCCCTGCCAGATACCAAGCTCCACTGCACATGTGTTATTTTAACAGCAGGTCAGCTTTATCCTGTGCCCCACCAAGAGACTTGGCTGGCTGATGAATAGAGAGCTTCCTCAGAAGTGCCCAGCAGTCTACCCTGCACACTAGCTCAAAAGGCTACCCTGAGGGTCTTAGAAACATCTTTCACACTGCCACTGAACACAATTCACACCCAGATGTTTGTGGCGGGGTCACACCTACCTACTTACTGATAAGGATGTGGGTGCCAGGGGTGGCATCTGACTTCATGCCTTTCTTTGTCCCTTCATCCCCTCCTTCCCCGGAAACTGGGGTTCTAGATGCAGATGGCAGCCCCATGCAGGAGCCTCCTCAGCCACCCCAGTGGCTGGGCTGGACGCCTCTCTGCAGCTTCATCTACAATGTAGCATAGAAAGCCCCAGGGGTGGGCAGCTTCCTGTGGGTTTTTTAGCACAAGGAAGTGGCGGGGGTCTGCTCCTGGGAGATCTCACACCACACAGAACAGCCCTGAGGCTGTGACCTCTACACACACCTGGTAGGTCTCTATGGGCCTCGCCTCCATGTTCAGGTCCCAGACCTTGACCGTGAGGTAATCCCTCGTGAGCATGTAGCGCCCACTGTGGCTGAACTTCACGTCGGACACCGAGGAGATGATCTCTGAGAAGAAGGAGCGGTTGCTGGGGTCCTCGGGCTCTTCAAAGACTGCGGAGAGAGAACCAGCCCCTGTCATCAGCTGCCCTGCTCACAGTCAGAACCACAGCCCACTGTATCCACCCGGGCTTCGCTCTCTGTATATACCATCATTTATTCATTCATCAAACCTTTCCCTAAACACCTACCAAAGCCCTGGCCTCTAAGGACCCCTCCAAAGAGGAAAAGCCCTGGAAGGGCGTCCTGGTGGGAACTGTGTTAATCAAGTATTTACTGTGCTGTGAACGACTTCATCTAATCCCCTAATAAAAACTTCAGGGCAGTAGCCTAATTATCCCCATTTTATATCCAAGAAAACAGGCTGAGAGCCAATCCACGTGCAAATCTCAGAGGCACATGAAAGTGGGATATTTGAACTCAGAGCTACACTTGCTGCAACCCTCTGCTGCCCCCTACTGGTAGTGCAGAATACCAGACTGAAAGTGTCTTGGCAGTCTCTTACGCACTGGGCATTTTCAGCCTCTAGGCCGGACCCTGATGTGGTTCTGGTACTAACTGGTCCCAGGTCTTCAGGCCAGGAGCTCCCTCTGTACATGTGGAGTAGACACCTGTGGTCAGTCACACCCCAAAGTGGCCCTGGTGGCAGAACAGGTGGGGACCAGGACTGCTATGGGGCTGGCATTAACCCTCCTAATCACCATGGCTTGCTGGCCCTTCCCAGTACACAAGCTTCTCAAGGGCTGGGGGAATAGCTGAGCGGGAAGAAGCAGGCACCCTGGGAAGGGAAGGCCATGTCAGGAGAGAGAGGCTACACACCCTCCTCTCCAAGCCCAGCCCAGGCAGTAAACCCCCAGCAGTGGTCCAGCCCAGCAGGGATGGAAGCGCCGATAAGCTGAATGTAACAAAGCTTACTGATTAACGTCTGACAACTGTTTGTCCCCTGCTCAGCCTCATACACCAGATCCCCATGAGACAACGTGGAATCTGCCCCTAGTTGTGGCCCCTCAAGAATTGACGTGTTCCGGCCCCCATTTCTGAGTCCCACTGTTCCCATCTACTCCTGTCACACTGTCCCTTATACTGAAGCCTGCAAAGGGCACCCCTGGGGAAGCTCTGGGGCTCACTCCCCAGGCTTGCTCCTACCACACTATATTGGGAATCTTGAGATGGGATGGGGATTTGCACTGGCTGTCTAGGGGCTGGAGTGACAGCCCTGAGCCGAGAGGTGTGGTGGCTTCAGCAGCTAGAAAGGACAAAGGAACAGCTGCTCCTGAAGCACCCTGACAAGACTTCCAACCTCCACACCTGTACAAAACACGCATGTGTTGTCTTAAGCCACAGAGAAGAGAGCTCTCCCATGGCTCCAGGGTGACAACGTGTGGAAGAGTGCATGCTGGGTAAGGGGCACCCATGGTTCCACCCTGGGAGGCTCTGAGCATTGGGTGGTATGCCATCCTTGAACAGCTCAGCCACTATTAGCTGTGGGTATCCCCAGCATTTGGCCATTCACGTTGCTGGAGTCCCATGATGGTGAACCATCATCCCCCCCACCCCATTCTGAGTCAACCGCATGCTCAGTGCTCAGCCCTTCCTTCTTGCAGACTCTGCTGTCAAAGCAGAAATAACTGTCTATTTCGAGGACTCGTGGATGGCTGTTTCTATGGTTACCCTGTCACAATGCCTAGCAGGCAACAATCTGGGTTTCTTCTGGTGTTTCTAGGAGAGCTGAAGCCATGGATGGGAGGACAGGATAGCCAGTTTACCCCAGCCTGGCCTGATTCAGACAGGTCTGGAGAGCTACTGTAATCCTCTACCTTCGGCCTCCTCACCTGCCCGGTGGCAGGCATGAACACACAGTGGTCCACAATGCTTCTCACTAAGTGAGAAGAAAGTCACAGTGTCATCCTGTTAGGAAAGGATGCTGTGGGCAGGACCCTGGGGGTGTCTCTTGACAGCCACACCCTGGCTTTTCAACATAGGAGTGGGAGGCAGAGAACCAGCCAAAGCCCCAGACTTCTTACACAAATACAGCGGGAGCAAAGATCATGGCTGATTAGGAACATGTGCCTGGCAACTGGGAACCAGCTGCTCGACTTCTCATGAACACTAAGAACAAACACTATGGATGAGGCGCACAGGGCAGGGACAGTGGCCCCTGTAGCAGCATCAGAGTGTAAGATGTTGTGGCAGGGGGCATCGTTTGGTGTCAGAGTGTTATCTTATCTAGCATGCTCCTGGCTTTGGTTCCATCCACTCTGGGGTCTGGAGGCAAGCAGGTAAGGATTGATTCTGGATTCTGGATTCTACACAGGCAATTCAGAGGGTGAGAGAAAAATTCCAGAAGAATTTTAAACATAGAATTAACTCCAATAGAAAACCTGTATGAAGCAGGCAGTGAGGTGCACACCTTTAATCCCAGCACTGGGGAGGCAGAGGCAAGGGAATCTCTGTGAGTTCGAGGCCAGCCTGGGCTACAGAGTGAGTTCCAGGACATCCAGGGCTGTTATACAGAGAAACTTTGTCTCAAAAAAAACAAAACAAAAAACAAAACCAAAAAAAAACCTGCATGAACAACTATTGGTTAATACTCACAACATGACAAGATCTAGGATCACCTAGGGGATAAGCATTCAGGCACACTGGGCTGGCTTCTGGGCGGTCGGGATTGTGTTCTCTGAGGTGGGAAGGACTCACTCTAAAAGTGGGTGGCACCATCCCCTGAGCTTGAGTCCTGAGCTGCATAAGAAGGACAAAGCCAGCCGAGCAGCAGCAGTTGCTTCTCCCTGCTTCCTGGCTGCAGATGTGATGCGGTCAGCTCCCTCAGGCTGCTGCTGCCATGCTTCCCCCGCCATGATAGGCTGCAACCTTGACCTGTGAGCCAACGTGAACCCTTCCTTCCTTAAGCTTGCTTTTGCTTGGGTGTTTTATCACAGCAACAGGAAACATAGCTAATCCAGAAAACTGGTGCCAGGGAGTGGGGCTGTTGCTGTGATAAACCTGACCTCTCGGCTCTTAGGCCTTTAGAACTGATTTAAGGGAGGAATGTGGAAGAGCTTGCAGGCTTGGGCTGGAGAAGCCCTGGAATGCTGTAAGCAGAGCTTACGCTCGCTATTCTAGTGGGAGCTTGAAAGACAAGAATGCTGAGAGAAATTTGGACAGTGGAGGCCCCTGCTCATGAAGCTTCAGAGGGAACAAGGGCTCCATCAGAGCCCGTGGGCTGGGGAACATCCACGTAGATTCTGGCAAAGAATCTGGCTTTACGTGTAAATGTGAGTATAAGTTTAGAGGTCATGGACTAATTTGTTTGGCGCAGGACATTCCAAGACATAAAAGCATTTAGGCTCGGCATGATTGTTTACTGCACTCATACAGGTCCACAGTGAAAAACAAAAGTAATAATTTGGGCATAATGATATTTTTAAATGTACAGTTTGTCAAGGAGAAAAAGAATCCAAGGAAGCTAAAAGGTGCAGCCAAGGCAGGAGCAGAAAGGAGGCTGAGATTGTTGGAGAAAGTCCCTGCTTGCACTGGGAAAATAGAAAAATCTGTCCAGAGGGCAAGACCCGTCCATCAAAGGCTCAAACTCATGAAAATGCAAAGCCTCTGAAAGGAGACAGCCTGGACTGAGAGTACACCTGGAGGGGTTCCCTGCTCACCACCAAGGGACCTTTTCCCCAGGGTCAGCCCACAGAATCTGATACAGCTGTGGTCCAAGGGGGCCAGGCTACACCTCACACTGGCAGCAGAACTCCGTGGCATCATCCACAGGGCACTGGTTTTGTAGGCATGAGATATTTGAGAGTGAGGAGGACATGGAAGCTGGCACCAAGATTCCAGAAAGTCGCTGCAGCCAGATTATGTGGTAACATACCGTTCCCTGTAAGGGTCCCTGAAGGCCACTGAGTAAGCTCAGAAGGTAAAGACAATGATGCAATGGAGATCCAAGGATTCTGGAGATGCCAGGACCATGGAGCATCCACCAAGGAAAGCTACAGGCATGGGGGAGACCTGGCCTGAGGGAGGCGCCGTGTGTCCTGAGAGCAACAGAGATGGTCTGTGGGTAGGTGGGGCTACTCAAGCTCTTTGCTGCCCTGTTGAGTCCATCACATGTCCTGGATACTGGGCACGGAGCTGACAGATTTAGTGTTTACCCTGAGAGTTTGGTCTTGCCTTAGCTGTTCCTTGCTATGACTGCTCTCTTCCCCTTACTACACTATGTCATTATATGGTGGGGGCATGTGACTTATTTTTCATTTTATAGGTTCATGATTAAGAGACTGCCTTGCATCTTAGATAAGACTTGGGCTTTAGACTTTTAAATGATGGTGGAATGTTAAAAAGACTATGGGGACTTTTGAAGTTGAACAGAACACAGTTTGTTTTATGAGATGGCTATGAACCTATGGAGATGAGAGGTTTAAAAAAAGTGTGGCTTAAAAATAATGTGTTGGGGTGTCAAGTTATCTGGAGGTACCGCTGTGATGGCAAATGTTGACGGTCTACATGACAGGACCTAGAATTACTTAGGGGACAGACCTCCAGGCTGGCCTGTGATGGATGATGTGATAATATAATAGTGATGTGAAGCCTCATCCTAAAAGTGGGTGGCACCATTCCCCAGGTTGCAGTCCTGGCCTGCATAAGAAAGAGAAAGCTAACTGAAGACCAGCATGTCTCTCTCTGCTTCCTGACTGTGGATGAAATTTGACTAGCTACTTTCTGCTGCCATCATTTCTCCAGTGTCAGGTCCCAAAGAAACCCAGGCCAAATGGCTGAGGTGCCTATTAGCATACTAAAGAGCATGCTGGCTGCCAGGCTCACTCAGTACCTTCTGCTCCCTCTGCTCTCCTCACTCCTGCCCTCTGCCCTAAACCTCTCCAGTCCAGGGGCTTCCCTTCCCTTCCCCTAGCGTCTCTTTGCTATATAACCCTGCCATTTTGGCCTCTCTCTCTCTCTCTCTCTCTCTCTCTCTCTCTCTCTCTCTCTCTCTCTCTTCTCTCCTCTCTCCTCTCTCTCTCTCTCTCTCTCTCTCTCTCTCTCTCTCTCTCTCT